GTATGTATATTTGTATTTAATAAGTGTACATTATATAAGTATACCTCACCATATTATCAAATAGTGTTAATTTAATGCAACATGAACAATGTTAATTACAGCACAATACAAACATTGAGAATGTTAGTGAAAGTTTTAAGTCATTTTTCCAGATAAATGGTTATTTGTTATTCTGGACATTCATTCACCACTTCTAAAAATCATATTTGTAACTAAACGACAAACGCATGTTCCTTTGAAAATGCACTGAATATTGCCTTACACATCTCATCAATATAACTTGTGTAGTTTTTAGTTTACGTATTAGTTATTCCAATTATAAGGTCACTTGTTGTCAACACTCCAAATGTTTGAGGAGCATTATAGCATATGGTATTTACATATATTGTCAGTATTATATATATATTATATAGTTATTAATTAATATTTTAAACAATAAGGATGACAACATTATAAATGATGTGGCGAAACACGTTTATAACTCTCTAAATATATAAGACAATTCAATGAAAAGTGAAATGCTTAAAACCAGCTGCTACAGAAAATACAAATTAACCAGTTCTTCTATGTTTAGAAATGTGAGTACATGTATCTTGTTTGACTTTTTTATTCCTGTATTGTTAGTGTTGGTTATACTTTATGTCTTCAGAATGTAATACTTTATTGTGCTTTTCTTAAAAACCTCAAATATCGGGTATGATAGCAATAAAGATTCTACCCGGTGCATTCGATTCTATATCCAGCTACACATGTTATTCAAGACCTGGTAATCAAGTAATCGTATAAGTGGCTTGCTGTCATTGGTCCCACGTATTGTATCTTTTTTTTTAGAAATTAAAAAAAAATGTACTTTAGTTTTTGACAATCCAATGGTAGAGACGAATAGTGGGTTACAATTAAAGCTGAACTAAGGCTGAGGAGTCTCTGGTGTGCATTTTTATTCGGCAAGTATCTCCACAGTGTGTGTCTAGACTGTCAAGAGAGTACGAGTTCCCTACACCTGCATCATTTACATGTTCCTTCACTTCTGTAACATTAAAATAAACTGACGAACTGTATGTCACCCGACACATGTCATCAAGACAAACTGTATGTCACCCGACACATGTCATCAAGACAAGCTGTATGTCACCTGACACATGTCATCAAGACAAACTGTATGTCACCTGACACATGTCATTAAGACAAACTGTATGTCACCCGACACATGTCATCAAGACAAGCTGTATGTCACCTGACACATGTCATTAAGACAAACTGTATGTCACCCGACACATGTCATCAAGACAAGCTGTATGTCACCTGACACATGTCATTAAGACAAATTGTATGTCACCCGACACATGTCATCAAGACAAGCTGTATGTCACCTGACACATGTCATTAAGACAAACTGTATGTCACCTGACACATGTCATCAAGACAAGCTGTATGTCACCTGACACATGTCATTAAGACAAACTGTATGTCACCTGACACATGTCATTAAAATAAACTGTATGTCACCTGACACATGTCATTAAAATAAACTGTATGTCACCCGACACATGTCATCAAGACAAGCTGTATGTCACCTGACACATGTCATTAAGACAAACTGTATGTCACCTGACACATGTCATTAAGGCAAACTGTATGTCACCTGACACGTGTCATTAAAATAAACTGTATGTCACCTGACACATGTCATTAAGGCAAACTGTACGTCACCTGACACGTGTCATTAAAATAAACTGTATGTCACCTGACACATGTCATTAAGGCAAACTGTACGTCACCTGACACGTGTCATTAAAATAAACTGTATGTCACCTGACACATGTCATTAAGACAAACTGTATGTCACCTGACACATGTCATTAAGACAAACTGTATGTCACCTGACACGTGTCATTAAAATAAACTGCATGTCAGCTTACACGCCATTAAGAGAAACAGCAAAACATAAGTAGTTGAAGAGATTAATTTCTTACTTCATAATTATACAAGAATTATTGTAGCCAGCAGTATGAAATTTTTATATTGTAACAATTAGTGTGCAGCATTTACAGATATTTAAAACAATCGCATACATTCTTTCAGAAAAAAAACCATAATTTAAATATAAATGTTTTTATTATTTATGCACCATGTTAAATTTATTCAGAAACACATTGAAAGCGCTACATGACATTTTAGTTTATTTAACTCAATGCATGATTTGCCAGAATCTTGATTCAGCTAAAGTACCAACAATCTCATTGTGAGAATATACTTTATTTTAAATTAGCGACATCTTGAATTAGTGAAATTATGGATTAACTAAATTAGCTAAAATAAATGTTTTAAAGCAGCTGTATTTTGACATTAATAGCTGAATTATCGTGTTTTATCTTAATAAACCTGTATAAGATATACAATTGAATTATAGTTTATGACAATATGCAGTGTTAGTGATTTTTAAGATCATACCATATCATACCATATCATATCATATCATACCATATATCATATCATACCATACCATATCATATCATATCTCACACACACAAAAATTTAACAATGTCATACTATGGAAGTACTACCTACCATTTATTCATGAATGAATGAATGAATGAATGAATGAATGAATGAATGAATGAATGAATGAATGAATAAATAAATAAATCGTTTGAATTATGACATGCATGGTTTGTTGACAAGTAACCTGTAGTAACTGGAAACACAAATGTTGTTGAACTAACAATTCATAAATCTGTCATTAATTTCACCAATAAAGAAACCAAAAAAAAATCATCCTTCAATTCACCATAAAACTGTGAAAATAAACTTTTACCATGCTTATAGACAAACGTAATGTAATATTTGTATTACTTCTCAACTTTTTACAAAATAAAATGTTTACAAATGATTCCATTTTGGTACATATTGTACAAAAAAAAATATGAAACACTGTGACTTATAATTCGTTTTCTCCATTAGAAATAATAAACCAAACAATGCACTTATTGCATAATGAATTAGGTCTTAATATGACCATAGACACAACTGATTTTTTATTTAGAATTCTCATATCACATATAATATTCACTCACAAAACACATTACACAATAACACAATAACTAAAACAGTAAAAACTTTGGTACATTACAGCTAAAACAATAACAACTTTGGTACATTACAGCTAAAACAATAACAACTTTGGTACATTACAGCTAAAACAATAACAACTTTGGTACATTACAGCTAAAACAATATAACTTGTCTACATTACAGCTAAAACAATAACAACTTTGGTACATTACAGCTAAAACAATAACAACTTTGGTACATTACAGCTAAAACAATATAACTTGTCTACATTACAGCTAAAACAATAACAACTTTGGTACATTACAGCTAAAACAATAACAACTTTGGTACATTACAGCTAAAACAATAACAACTTTGGTACATTACAGCTAAAACAATAACAACTTTGGTACATTACAGCTAAAACAATAACAACTTTGGTACATTACAGCTAAAACAATAACAACTTTGGTACATTACAGCTAAAACAATAACAACTTTGGTACATTACAGCTAAAACAATAAAAACTTTGGTACATTACAAGTAAAACAATAACAACTTTTCTACATTGCAGCTAAAACAATAACAAATTTTCTACATTACAGGTAATACAATAAGAACTTTTCTACATTACAGGTAATACAATAAGAACTTTTCTATATTACAGGTAAAACAATAACAACTTTTGTACATTACAGCTAAAACAATAACAAATTTTCTACATTACAGGTAATACAATAAGAACTTTTCTATATTACAGGTAAAACAATAACTTTTTTACATTACAGCTATAACAATAACAACTTTTCTACATTACAGCTAAAACAATAAAAACTTTGGTACATTACAGCTAAAACAATAACAACTTTGGTACATTACAGCTAAAACAATAACAACTTTGGTACATTACAGCTAAAACAATAACAACTTTGGTACATTACAGCTAAAACAATAACAACTTTGGTACATTACAGCTAAAACAATAACAACTTTGGTACATTACAGCTAAAACAATAAAAACTTTGGTACATTACAAGTAAAACAATAACAACTTTTCTACATTACAGCTAAAACAATAAGAACTTTTCTACATTACAGCTAAAACAATAACAAATTTTCTACATTACAGGTAATACAATAAGAACTTTTCTATATTACAGGTAAAACAATAACAACTTTTTTACATTACAGCTAAAACAATAACAACTTTTCTACATTACAGGTAATACAATAAGAACTTTTCTATATTACAGGTAAAACAATAACAACTTTTCTACATTACAACAAAAACAATAACAACTTTTGTACATTACAGCTAAAACAATAACAAATTTTCTACATTACAACAAAAACAATAACAACTTTTGTACATTACAGCTAAAACAATGACAACTTTTGTACATTACAGCTATTAAAAACAATGACAACTTTTGTACATTACAGGTAAAACAATAACAACTTTTCTATATTACAATTAAAACAATAACAACTTTTCTACTTTACAGCTAAAACAATAACAACTGCTGTATATTACAGCTAAAACAAGTCATTTTCGATGTCATAGTCCCCGTTCAGTTTTCAATGACTGTTGATTATAAACAATGAACGATGTTGATAAATTATAATCCATACATAAAACCAGTTGGATATTTTAAATAAAGTTACAAAACAAAACATCATGTGTGGTGTTCATAACAAAACTACTTAAAGCCTGTCTGAGAAATGGATAAGGACATCTGAAAATAAAATCAACATAGCTGCCAGTCGACCTGAATTAAATCACATCTATCGTGTGCGATGTTCTTACCAAATTTGAATAATACTGACCCAGGACAATCCTGAGAAATGACACATGGAAAAATACATACAATTGAGGCTCACAATGACAGTAGGCAAAGCAAAGTTTTATGAGATTCTTGTCCCAAATGCATATTTGCAATAACTGTCCCTAAACTTCTCTGAAATCCCATCTTTGTGAATCCTTTCGTGAGTCACAGGGAGAGATAATGACCATGGTACCTCTGTGTTCAAGACACTGCTGCATTGACTTGGTATAGAGCTTCATTGTAATCTACAAAAAACAACAAAAATCTATTCACACATGGATAACATTTAACAATGCATAGCACTACGCGGGTTACGCTGCGTAATTAAAGAACACCTCGTTGTGTGCAAGTGACAAAGAAATCTATTGAAGTATGTTATAGGTTGGTATGGAAACAAGATTAGGAGGACACCACTGCGTCATCTGTTTACGTTTATTTTGCAAACACCATTTGTATAGGCAATTGAATTTATATTGTATTTTGACATTTGGTACTACTACTAGTTTATAACTGACATATTTTGATGCAAGAAACATAGCACAGTAATTAGAAACTGATTGTAATGAAGTGAACAAAACAAACAAATTGACCAATGTAACAAATATCAAAATAATCCAGATAGAAGTTTTCAAAGATAACCTAATAAAAATAATATTTTTTTTTCAATTAAAAATGTACAAAATATTTTTATTTATAAATAGAGAATTATCACCATCACAAAATTAAACCAAGGTCAAGTATCATGAAGAAGTTGATAAATATTTTTCTTAAAATTATGAATTAAACTTATCATCACAAAATGAATTTTATAGAGGTTTATCCAACATAAGTCAATAATACAATTTTTTTATCAAAAATGACATAACTATATATATATGGTGGTTTTCAAATAGAAGTCAAACCTTCAAATAGCTGTAGTGTAGCAAATCAAAATAAATATTTATGGCACACCTTGCATTGTGAGACTTATTTTTGTCACACTGTTGCCACTAATGGGCGAATTACGACTTTCTGATTTAGAGACGCCACACCCCTGAAACACTACAGTACCTTTCAGATTTAAATTTTACAACTTCTTTGTAATGCTAACAACGGCGGCGTATCATATTTGAAGTAATTTAAACATAACAGGTTAAATTTCATGCATTAAGCAATTAAGAATCATGAATGCATCATGGGATTGTTTTAATATTTTTCATTATACATCTGTCACCAAAACACCATAAGTTACAGTGTGTCGTAATTTTGCAGTATTGAACTGGGTGGAATGCAAATGCATTCTACCATATTAGGAAATGCAAATTTCAAACAAGAAACAATTGCGTGCATATGTGCTTCTAATAATAAAAACAAACAATGCAGTCCCCAGGGTTTGACTGAACCCCACACAAAGGAGTTTGCTAAATTTGTTATAAAGGTTTGAATTTTGGTATTCATATGATGTATCCTTAGGAGTTAAAGATGTATACTAATTAGGTTATTACAAGGATACCGCAAAGTATGCACTCAAACAATATGAGGTCAATTCAGCCTCCGTGATACTCTCGCCGTACTGTCTCTGTGCATACTTTGTGGTATCGTCGTAATAACTTCATATTCTACAAAAGGATTGTGTATGGGTATTTTGTAGTGTGTTTTTTTTTATGTCTACTCTATCATCCATGACACTTCCTGTGAAGCTGTTCAATTAGATGTTTGTGTGGAATTTAACTTTTTTTCAGAGCAAAAATAATGAAAATAAATTTCACAGTATAAGATATAATGCTGAATTATGTGTAAACAAAACTACCTCGTTATATGACCAGTCTCTGGTAATCTTGGCCTTGTTTCGTCCACTGCATTTAAATAATGCAGGTTTGGAATCTTTACCAGTTACACATAAATCTGCCACTCTCAAATCCTTGACTGATGTCAAACGAAACATCTGATGAAACATCAAATTATAGTGTGTTATAGACATAGTATTGGTGTGCAATAATGCATAGTTAGGCATGGTAACAATGTGCAGTAATGTAAAGTTAGGCATGGTGTTGATGTGCAACATTGCGTAGTTAGGCACGACTCTACCTACCGGTAAATTTTTAATCAGGCTGAGTGAATTGATTCACTCTTTTTTATGTACAGTCAGGAATATTTACAGAATGAATAAATTTGAAAAAAATAGTGACAAATCACTTTTTTTTATTGTTAACTGCTATGTCCAGAAAGATGTTCACTTGACAGGTTCTGATCCCACATTGGAAAACCATAGACCACTGTGTAGAGTTACACGACCAGTCTCGTCAAAAAATGGGGTTACAGAAACAGTACAAACTAAACTGCCAGTATGAAAACAGTACTGTCATCCAGTACAGTAAATTGCTGGAACACCAACATTTAGATATGCCATATTCTTGATAAATCCTGATTCTCTATTGACTCACTGGAATTATAGTCAGATATGTCAATTTCAACATCAGGTCAAATACACAATGCCTATAATTGCAGTAATTGACCGAAGCACTCAAATTTAGTAAATTCAGAATACTGGGTCAGGAAAACTATCATGTTACCTATTTAGGGATTCACAAAGAAAATTTGGCCCTAAATTTGTTAAGTGTTTTTCTTTTTAAAATGCAATATTAATTACAGGTGGGAAACCTATGAAGTGAATCAATGAATAGTTAGACATTATTTACAAAGGGAATCAATGTATAGTTAGGTATTTTGATAAAGTGAGTCAATGTATAGTTAGGCATTATTTACAAAGTGAATCAATGAATAGTTAGGCATTATTTACAAAGGGAATCAATGTATAGTTAGGTATTTTGATAAAGTGAGTCAATGTATAGTTAGGCATTATTTACAAAGTGAATCAATGAATAGTTAGGCATTATTTACAAAGGGAATCAATGTATAGTTAGGTATTTTGATAAAGTGAGTCAATGTATAGTTAGGCATTATTTACAAAGTGAATCAATGAATAGTTAGACATTATTTACAAAGGGAATCAATGTATAGTTAGGTATTTTGATAAAGTGAGTCAATGTATAGTTAGGCATTATTTACAAAGTGAATCAATGAATAGTTAGACATTATTTACAAAGGGAATCAATGTATAGTTAGGTATTTTCATAGAGTGGGTCAATGTATAGTTAGGCATTATTTACAAAGTGAATCAATGAATAGTTAGACATTATTTACAAAGTGAATCAATGAATAGTTAGGCATTATTTACAAAGGGAATCAATGTATAGTTAGGTATTTTGATAAAGTGAGTCAATGTATAGTTAGGCATTATTTACAAAGTGAATCAATGAATAGTTAGACATTATTTACAAAGGGAATCAATGTATAGTTAGGTATTTTGATAAAGTGAGTCAATGTATAGTTAGGCATTATTTACAAAGTGAATCAATGAATAGTTAGGCATTATTTACAAAGGGAATCAATGTATAGTTAGGTATTTTGATAAAGTGAGTCAATGTTTAGTTAGGCATTATTTACAAAGTGAATCAATGAATAGTTAGACATTATTTACAAAGGGAATCAATGTATAGTTAGGTATTTTGATAAAGTGAGTCAATGTATAGTTAGGCATTATTTACAAAGTGAATCAATGAATAGTTAGACATTATTTACAAAGGGAATCAATGTATAGTTAGGTATTTTCATAGTGGGTCAATGTATAGTTAGGCATTATTTACAAAGTGAATCAATGAATAGTTAGACATTATTTACAAAGGGAATCAATGTATAGTTAGGTATTTTTACATTTACAGAGTAAATCAATATATAGTTAGGCATTTTTACATTTACAGAGTAAATCAATATATAGTTAGGCATTTTTACATTTACAGAGTAAATCAATATTTAGTTAGGCATTTTTACATTTACAGAGTAAATCAATATATAGTTAGGCATTTTTACAGAGTAAATCAATATATAGTTAGGCATTTTTACATTTACAGAGTAAATCAATATATAGTTAGGCATTTTTACATTTACAGAGTAAATCAATATATAGTTAGGCATTTTTACATTTACAGAGTAAATCAATATATAGTTAGGCATTTTTACAGAGTAAATCAATATATAGTTAGGCATTTATAGTATAGTAATTTACACACAGATTCAATTATCGTGTTAAACTTGAAATATGCAGCACCAACACAAAGCTAAAACAAGATTAGTTTCATGTTTCAACAAGTTTATATGTCTGCACATGCTTATTAATTATTATGACATTTTACATGGCCCAGAATTGCTAACCGTTATTGCTTGATTGAAAAAGTACACAAAAAACAGAAATATTTGGTCAACCGACAGATTGGCACAAACTACCAGTCAGCTCTATGTCACTTTTTCTATTGAGAACACAATAAAGGTTTCAATACCTGATTTCCACCTAAGCCATGACAATGAGTCAATCCAACACCACCGCCTTCATTGTTGCCCATTGTATCCAGGCAAAGGTTGGGAGAATCCACAGGATGTATCTGCAATAGTAGCAAGAATTAACAAAAATACAGTTTGAAATCATTCACAAAGATTTATCAGAGTCTTGTCTATTATGTGAAGAATTAATGGACGTAACTTTCAAGAATTTAATTGCAGTAAATATTTATGAAAAGTAGAGTTTCATTTGAATGTTGGCAACTATTTCAGTTATACTGTAATCTATAGGAAAACCATAATCGTCTCCATCTGATGCATTTTCCTTTCCGACACATACAATTATAAAAAAAAAAAAAAAAAACGTTTTTGAAGTAAACATGTATTGTTTTTTGTTGGTAAAACGATTAATAAATAAATAAATTAAATAAATAACTGTGGCCTGCTGTAATTTGAAACAATTGTGAACCTCAAGCCTCAAACCCCCAAATATTTCCCACAATGCAGCACACATATTTATACCATAAAATGTAATGAATAATAGTCACAAAACCCAAAGCTTGAATAATAATCCCAGAATGCAACTTCAATTGATGATCTAGAAATCTTGAGATATATTTGTCAGTATGATATATTAAAAATAGAAAAATATCTCTGCTCAGTCCTTTTTAATAACAGCATTGTACAATTAACAAGGGTAGATGAAAAGATAAGGGTAAGCAAGCTCTTCCCTAAAATTATAAAATATATCATTTATAACATTTTGATTAAACATCTTGATATAACATATGATTGATCCATACTCATTAGTAAGTCAATTTATTACCACAATTGAAAATTTGAATTGAAGTGTGTTGTATATATTATTACTTGGGGTTTGTAACTACGGTGACATGATACCAAGATCCCGTTACAATCTCGCTCTCGCATAAGCGTTCCAACTCAGAAAAATGCGAATGCGCATGCCCGAGGTAACTAGGATACTGGGATGTCCAGGTGGATCAAAATAGCTGCTCACAATTACGATAACTATATTTTCTGTACATTTTCGCTGTATTACATTTTTTCACTATGAATGTGGTAATACATGTTTTATTGTTTTATTACAAACCGCCTATGTCATGTCAGAAGGTCATAGCATCAGTCTCACTATCTTTGAGATGAGACTTGAATGGGATCTTGGCATGATGTCACCATACAGTACTATGTGCGTTGCAACCCCAAGTAATGTACCTCTGATATTATCTATAACATTTTCTGCTACATTATTTTCTTCACAAGTGCAAGACTTAGTACTTACCTCTCCCCAGAAGAGATTAGTTGGTGGTAGTGGATACCATTTCAATATATCATAAGCAATCGTTTCCATAAACCAGTGGAATGTTTTACATTTGTTGTCTTTTCTAAAGTGGCGCTGAGCGGAGATATCACCAAAATCTACTTTACTTAAACTATGCGGATTTTTTGAGTAAATATAGTCTCTGTATTCATCCATCCAAACTTCAGCTACACGTAAATAGTTCTAAAATATTCAAATCATATTGAATACTGGAATTAAATCTTTTCAATGATTCATATTATGAGGTTATAACCTGATATCACTCATTCGCCAGTTGATATTAAATCGCAGACAATTATCATCCCAAACTATTATCAACCAGCTGTATGGAAAGTAATATCATGTAGTTTTATCACATGGCCAACTGTGAGTTCCTACAAGACAAGAAATCCTAATTTTACAGATCTACAGTTATGAATCATATGCTAATTTATGCAAATAATTAAGGCATGAAGTCTAAGCACATTGGTGCAGCAGTTACTGATAATTGAAAAAAAAAACGTTAAACTTTTACAGATATATTTTCAAAATCAATTTTCAACCGATCTTATTATGAGTTAGTGTCATAGCACCATTTCAGTAATTGTTGTCATTCAGTGCATATCTCATATCGTTGCAATAAAAAACAGTAATCATAAATTTTTGTTGTATTCACATATACTGGTAACTGAACGCACATAAAAATGATGGCATTTACCATATGTATATCATATCAGCTAGTGATATTTCATATTAAACAACACAACTTTCAATAAAATGCACCACATTCATGTGATAAAACACAGTATGGAAATAATTAAAATATATTCAATCATGCTGCAACAGCAGTTTCCATCAGATTACTGTTTCTGACATCACTCCAATTACTACCACTGTTTGTTCCTGTCAGATTACTCTATGTGTTACATACCTTTTGTTGATACGTCCCCAGTGTACCATTCGGGAATGTGTACGGTGGTCTTCCATGAATTCTATAAATATGACCAACATGTGAGCAAGGAACCCATAACAATTCACCACCACACATCCATGTCTGTGTGAAAAAAGATAATGGTTAAATACTGACGCTTACTACAGATTCATGTCCATACATTTTATCACACGCACAGTAAATTGCCTTATCCTGATGTAGTTTTATATACAATACCTGTCATAAAAGTCATCTGTTTGTTACTTTGACACATTTTTCTGTTACTGACATGTATCCATAATGTTTGACACATATTTTTGTAATTACAAGTAACCGTGACCTTTGACACATTTTTCTGTTACTGGAGGTATGTAAATGTGCCAAAATGGACATAGTGCGAGTGGTTAGTGCTAGTAGCACTAATCCGAAAAACTACTAGATCTAGTGCTAAAATGGCACTAGATCTAGTGTTAAAATGTACATAGTGCGAGTGGCATTGATATTGCGTTGTTGTATCTTTCATTCATTGGAAATGTGCTACAGTGGGAAAATTGAGAATGTCATTGTCCACGTTTGTCGTAATACTAATAGACCTTTGGAACAACGCGATCGACCGGGAAACTAGCTGAAACAGTGAAACTGCAGGTCGAACTGCGCAATTTTTACAAATTGTGAATAGATATACTGTATGAAATGGTATTGTGGGGAAGTCCCGGGTCCCTGTAAAGCTCGGTGGATTGTGTGTTACTGCGATTTTCACGCAATCCTGTATCATGGAGGAACTAACGGAATATGATGTAACCTCGCCAATTTTTTAATTTTTTAACGTGATCATATTATATATGCCTAGACACTTTCTCTGCAATAATATTTTTTAGAAGCCCTTAGGATTTTTTGTTGTAGACTCCCGAAATCTTGTTCTTGTTACAGTTGCTAATAATTAAAACATGTGAAGTAACAAGTTCGTCTGTTGAATTTCCGGTTGTGAAATACGTATTTTAACCCTCACAGCTAAACAAACCCAGTGTATGGTCGCATTAAAAAAAATGGGACCAAGAAATCGTCCAGGGTGATTTTTCGGCAGTTTTTAAATTTATTGTTTAAAATATTTTGTCGTAATTTATCGGACATTTCAATCGTTCCTGGCGCCTAAATCAGTCTATTTAAGTTTTTATTCAAGAGCGTGTTTATTTTGACTAGCGTAAGCTCCGTTTGGACAAAGAGCTGTTATCACTGTAAACAATGTTAAATTATTCATCTTTGAAAACAACTAGTTTTTTATTTTTAAAAAAATCATGCCATTTTCCCATCAAAATCCAAGCCAAAAGAGTGTACTACAACATCGTCAAATCTCTTTCGCGTTGCGTTCAATAACATTAAAATATTTAAATGAGCTATTGTGATTTGAACGCGTTGGCATCATCCAGCATTTTGATTGGTTAATTAGCGATTTGACCTATTAGCTCAACTCATCCAAGAGAAGCGCATGGCGGTACCCTACCGCACCGAGCATTTATATGCGATCGGAATCATTTGCTTACGATGAAACTA